CTGGTCTCTTTATCAACAAGAGTGACTGCTGCTTTTGCATGATGTGGAAGGGTCATGAGTGCAAAAGCAATCTGTGAAACGTCGAGGCAATCGTGAGAAATCCGCCTGAGATCTGTGCGACGCAGGAAGTTTGGTGTAGGCCACAACACAAGAAGTGTATGGGCCACTTTGTGTTGGCCTAAAAATCGACATACAATGATTTAAATCCAGCTCAGGACAACACAGCAGAGACAATAAACATGCATTTTACACAACTGTGGACCACGCATGACTTGTGAATTGATAACTTTGAGGTAGTGGAAGTCAAAAATCCAGCTTCCAAACTCTGGAGCAGCTGGTGAGAAGTAACCGCTCATTGAGGCTAATATAGCTTAGCATCACAAGCTAACTAGCCTCTGATGCTAACGCCGAAATTGTGCCCATTACAGTCATTCATAAATCGGGTTATTTGTCAAGGAATCACAACGGGGACTGGGTTGTAGTTAAAATAGACTCTTACCTACTTAAAATGTGTTTGTATATGCGGCGATTTTAGTTGTGGGTGAAGCGTAGCAGCTTTCTCCGTCTGTTTTTTTTGCTCATGTCTTTGGCTGTAGATGTTTGGCTAACCAGCTGAAGCCTCGCCACAGTCACCATAACGACATCAGCGTAGCGGTTGCTAAGTATAGTGCACGCGAGCGAGCGAGCTGGCGTAAAGAGGTATGCAGAATACGAAGCAGCACAGCGCTACGTGAGAGAAATAACGTAAACGATTTTACGCACAAAAGTTTATTATTTTTAAAAGATTGGGTTGTTTTTTTGAGAAACCCTCACCAGTACAAATGGATCGTTGTGTCAGCTGTGTTTACATTTATAGAACACACTCAGTACATGATTTATAAGCAGTTTGGTAATGACATTTCTATTATTTAAGAAAAGGCAACCACTGATTATTCTGGTCTCTCTCTCTCTGGTCTCTCTCTGGTCTCTCTCTCTGGTCTCTCTCTGGTCTCTCTCTGGTCTCTCTCTCTGATCTCTCTCTGGTCTCTCTCTGATCTCTCTCTGGTCTCTCTCTGATCTCTCTCTGGTCTCTCTCTCTGATCTCTCTCTGGTCTCTCTCTGATCTCTCTCTGGTCTCTCTCTGATCTCTCTCTGGTCTCTCTCTCTCTGGTCTCTCTCTCTGATCTCTCTCTGGTCTCTCTCTGATCTCTCTCTGGTCTCTCTCTCTGGTCTCTCTCTCTCTCTGGTCTCTCTCTGATCTCTCTCTGGTCTCTCTCTCTCTCTCTGGTCTCTCTCTCTGGTCTCTCTCTCTCTGGTCTCTCTCTCTCTGGTCTCTCTCTGATCTCTCCCTGGTCTCTCTCTCTCTGGTCTCTCTCTGGTCTCTCTCTGATCTCTCTCTGGTCTCTCTCTCTCTGGTCTCTCTCTCTGGTCTCTCTCTGATCTCTCTCTGGTCTCTCTCTCTCTGGTCTCTCTCTGATCTCTCTCTGGTCTCTCTCTCTCTGGTCTATCTCTCTGGTCTCTCTCTCTCTGGTCTCTCTCTCGGATCTCTCTCTGGTCTCTCTCTCTCTGGTCTCTCTCTCTGGTCTCTCTCTCTGGTCTCTCTCTCTGGTCTCTCTCTGGTCTCTCTCTGGTCTCTCTCTGGTCTCTCTCTCTGGTTTCTCTCTCTCTGGTCTCTCTCTCTGGTCTCTCTCTCTCTGGTCTCTCTCTGGTCTCTCTCTGGTCTCTCTCTCTGGTCTCTCTCTGGTTTCTCTCTCTCTGGTCTCTCTCTCTGGTCTCTCTCTCTCTGGTCTCTCTCTGGTCTCTCTCTCTGGTCTCTCTCTGGTCTCTCTCTCTCTGGTCTCTCTCTCTGGTCTCTCTCTGGTCTCTCTCTCTCTGGTCTCTCTCTCTGGTCTCTCTCTGGTTTCTCTCTCTCTGATCTCTCTCTGGTCTCTCTCTCTCTGGTCTCTCTTTCTGGTCTCTCTCTCTCTGGTCTCTCTCTCTCTGGTCTCTCTCTCTGGTCTCTCTCTGGTCTCTCTCTCTCTGGTCTCTCTCTCTGGTCTCTCTCTGGTCTCTCTCTCTCTGGTCTCTCTCTCTGGTCTCTCTCTCTGGTCTCTCTCTCTCTGGTCTCTCTCTCTGGTCTCTCTCTGATCTCTCTCTGATCTGATGACAGCATTTCTATTATTTAAGAAAAGGCAACCACTGATTATTCATAACCAAAATATTAATAGTAAAATGTAGATTAGTAGATGTATATGTATATTATAGATACAATAATATGAATATGAGTGTAAATGTATTGCTTGCAGAGAAAAATTATGACAAAATGATATTGTGCCTTTAAATCAGATGTATTTTATGAGGGTTCACGTTTTACTGTGATAGGATACTTTCATCTGTCAGTCAATCATGGCATGACAGAGGCTGGCCAATAGGAGGAGAGGGTTGGGCAGCACAGACACAGCACTGCAGAGAGATGTCATACTGGCTTTTGCCCAACCCAAACCTTGTGTGTCAAAGTATTCATACAAAGTGTTTATTACTTTGTCATTCTAAATACAAGTTAATCTTTATTGCAGATGTGATGGTCCACACTTGCCTGGAGAAATCCTATACTAAAACATATATACCCTGGGTTGTCATTCTGGATCCATAAAGGCAATGCCCCCAACGATGACAGGCTCGGTTGGGTATAGTGCTATAAGCCATCAGTCTTTGAAAGCACTCAGATTTAATTTGCCCAGAACCTACTCTCTCATTAAAGGTCCATTTCAAGAGATCCTTTATTTGTCCCACAGTGGGGAAATTTCAGTGTTGCATCACAAGTTATAGAACAGTAGGAAAGAGGAGCACACAGCACACGTTACCTGAACAGTAGCTGTCATAATTAAAATAAAACAAAATCTATAACTCTAGCATCAATAATAAGTATAAAAAAACTCTATCTTGAAAATACTAATAGATGTAAAAATTTAAGATTATATACAAAGTAAAAAGTATTCTATGTGTATTCTAGTGCAAGTAAAGTGTGGTTATATGTTAGCATCTGTACATTAGCAGCAGTATGTTTACATCTGTACATTAGCAGCAGTATATGGCACATTCAGGTATAAGATAAGGATATTGCAACGATGTATGACACATGAAAACAGGTTGGCAGTTTTCATTAGTCCTTATTGTTTGTTGTACAGTCTGACAGCAGCAGGAAGGAAAGACCTGTTTTGCTCCCTGTTTGCGGTTGGTGTGAAATTAAGTATTTTAAAGACCTTATGACGGGTTTGATTTATTTAGAAATACAGTTTTAATACCATTTTATATTAGAAGAGAACTACTAAAGGTTTCAAAATCAGTTGTTGTTTTTTTTGTCTGATCCCCCCAAATCGAAATAACCCCATAGCAACGCCCTTAGAGACGAAAAAACTTCACAGCCCTTGGTGACGTCAGAGTGGGTACGTTTCAACGCTGTAAGTTGTTTACAATTTGGTATTCGTTCTTTATTCGCGGATATTCAAGAGAACAAGGCCGTGTACAGAGAGTCTGACATAACTACTAGATTATAACACTTCGACTTTGGATGCAGCTTTTCCCCTTTGTGTAAACAATCACCGGAACAGAGTTTACTTCTGTAATACACTCAGAAACAGAAATATATAAGTGATGATGTCAGTAAGTCAACTCTGTAAGGTTTAAATATAAGTAATGTTGGAATAAATATCACATTGCATATTCTAACATTACAGCACTGCTAGATATTGTATATAGAGAGACAACTGGTGAATACAAGGCACACACAACAGGAAAAAGTCAAACCGGCCTGGTCTTTTCACACAGACTATATACAACAAAACAACGTCTTAATTACTTTGTCATTCTCCAAGGCAAAGCAATTGAAATGTCAGCACATGATCTCTATTGCAGATGTGATGCTCCACACTTGCCTGGAGAAATCCCAGACTATAAAATATATAAACCGGGCGATCATTCTGGATCCATAAAGACCAATGTATGTGAGTGTAGGCCATCATAAAACATCTTTTAATCAATCGTATCTAATCCACGAAGAATCGTTTTTTCGGCAAGTGACACTTCACCAAAGAATGTTCCAGAACTACAGTGACCTTGAATCTGGACTGTATTATTCCCACAATGAAAGACACTAATGAGGAGCCTAAATCTGGAAGTAAAGTGCCACTAACTCGCTGTGCACTTGTTTAACTGAATAATCAGGGTCCGATTCTGGAGCGAGGACATGGCCTGCTCAAAGTGACTGATCGGGATTGTTGGAAAAAAAATATATCCTCAGGTCTAGTACCTGAGGATAAAACTCCACCCTGTGTGTTTATAACAAAGTCTATAATTTTACAAGTTTTGAGCGTTGTTTGGTGTATCGCCCAAATGATTATCACACATGTGCGATTGTGAAAAAAGAACGAAATACGGGACGTTTAAAAACAGTCGTGAGTGAATAAACGTTGAAGTTGGCTGATTGACACATGTTTAGCGTCGCACCGGCAACATTGGCACCATTAACGGAAGTGACTCAATCAAAATCCACATCTGTAAACTTTGTACATATAGAGTAATGACTGATGTCCAGACGTCCTGGGCTTTAGAGCAAGGTCGATATTGGATGAGCTGAAGTTGGATGGATGACACAGTGAACTTGTGTTTATGATCTCAAAGACTACTTTGGGTTAGCAAGGCAGAGGCCCCCATACAATGAAACTGAGGGCCGCATTTGGACCCAGCCTGGTGTACATGGATGTAAAAGCCGCTATATCAAATCGGTAATTGAGGTTGTATTTTTTCAATGTATTTTTTGTGTGTATGGATTTTAATAACGTTATAAAATTATAAACAAATAGAGGTGTTGAATTTGGCCTTTCTTCAAGTACAAACGGGAGGTGGCAGCAGAGAGCAGAGAAGTGACAGACTCAGAGAAGAAGAAGAAACCAAGATGGCGGCCTCCTGAAGGATTTCCTGACAGAACGCTCGGGTCACTCTATTATTTACGTTAAAAGTATCTCTCTCCGCTCTCCACCGCCATGATCCCAGAGGCCACACGGTGCCTCAGATCCGCGGGCGTGGGGTGGACCTTCTCGGGGCTGCTCAGGGAGACCACCCTGCTGTGTGCACATGGACCCCCGCGGAGACACTTCAGCCTTCACCGCTGCCTCCGGGCCCGGCCTCCGTACCCCAAACCCCCGCGGGAGACCGTGCACATCCCGGGGCTGGAGAGGATCACGTACGCCGAGAGGATGCACTACGTCCCGGGGCTGGCCAGACCGGAGATGTGGCCGCCGTGGGAGAGGGATTACAAGGACCCGCACCGGTACCGCAGCCCCCCGCAGAGTGAGATGCCCCTGCGGAAAGAGCTGCCGTGCTACGTGTTCCACCAGCGGACCAACGCGCTGGAAGGTACCGGGCATGTCGCAGGACTAACGACACCAAACATTATAAAAACCGTACTTCCTGGACTATACGCCGCACCTGTGTATAAGCCGCACCACCTACATTTGAGAAGAAAATCAATGTTGTTCACATATAGGCCGCACTTCAATACAAGCCACAGGTTTTGGTGTTGTAATGTAGCAGAGAGACGACTGTTTTAACTGGACACAACTTGATTTAATGACGGGGTTTGGCACAGTTGTTAGTGTTACTTTACAGCATGAAGCTAGTGCGGTTTGTATACAGGTGCGCTCAATAGACCAAGTTCTGTAGTTCACAACAAGAAATCTAATCTTTACTGTAGCATAATACAGTTTTAATCTTATCTTATTCAGAAATAGTCTTATAAATGTTCCTCTCTCTCTCTCTCTGTGTTTGTCTCTCTCTCTCCTCTCTCTCTCTGTCTCTCTCTTTCTGTGTCTGTCTATGTCTCTCTCTCTCTGTGTGTGTCTCTCTCTCTCTGTCCCTGTCTCTCTCTCTCTCTGTGTGTGTCTCTCTCTCTCTGTCCCTGTCTCTCTCTCTCTCTGTGTGTGTCTCTCTCTCTCTGTCCCTGTCTCTCTCTCTCTGTGTGTGTCTCTCTCTCTTTCTGTGTGTGTCTCTCTCTCTCTGTCCCTGTCTCTCTCTCTCTCTGTGTGTGTCTCTCTCTCTCTGTGTCTATGTCTCTCTCTCTCTGTGTGTGTCTCTCTCTCTCTGTGTCTGTCTATGTCTCTCTCTCTCTGTCTATGTCTCTCTCTCTCTGTGTGTGTCTCTCTCTCTCTGTCCCTGTCTCTCTCTCTCTGTGTGTGTGTCTGTCTCTCTCTCTCTGTGTGTGTCTCTCTCTCTCTGTGTCTGTCTATGTCTCTCTCTCTCTGTGTGTGTCTCTCTCTCTCTGTCCCTGTCTCTCTCTCTCTCTGTGTGTGTCTCTCTCTCTCTGTGTCTGTCTATGTCTCTCTCTCTCTGTGTGTGTCTCTCTCTCTCTGTGTCTGTCTATGTCTCTCTCTCTCTGTGTGTGTCTCTCTCTCTCTGTGTCTGTCTCTCTCTCTCTGTGTGTGTCTCTCTCTCTCTGTGTGTGTCTCTCTCTCTCTGTGTCTGTCTATGTCTCTCTCTGTGTGTGTCTCTCTCTCTCTGTGTCTGTCTATGTCTCTCTCTCTCTGTGTGTGTCTCTCTCTCTCTGTGTCTGTCTCTCTCTCTCTCTGTGTGTGTCTCTCTCTCTCTGTGTCTGTCTCTCTCTCTCTCTGTGTGTGTCTCTCTCTCTCTGTCTCTCTCTCTCTCTGTGTTTGTCTCTCTCTCTCCTCTCTCTCTCTGTCTCTCTCTCTGTCTCTCTGTCTCTCTCTCTGTCTCTCTGTCTCTCTCTCTCTGAGTTTTGTGACACTTCTCCCTGCAGGTGTTCCTCAGGCCTTGTGGCTCACCAAAACCAAACTGATCGATGGTCTTCCTCCTCGACTGCTCTCATTGGGCCAAGATCCGGCCAATCATATCCCGGATCAGGACGAGCGAGTGAAGAACGCCATAAAGCACGCTCGCTTCTGGGACACCACCACAGAGAAGACTAAAGAGGAGAGATACAGGTAACTGGGACCGGGCCGGTTCTGCACCGTAATGATACAATGTTCCTCTGTCTGTTTAAAGCAGTTACATCGGTCGATACTTTTACTGAGAGATGCACTGATGCAGCTTGAATTCTTATTTGCCGTACAGTACCAGTTGGTCTCTGGTCTCTCTCTATCTGGTCTCTATCTGGTCTCTCTCTGGTCTCTCTCTGGTCTCTCTCTGGTCTCTTTCTGGTCTCTCTCTCTGGTCTCTCTCTGGTCTCTCTTTTGTCTCTCTTTGGTTTCTCTTTTGTCTCTCTTTGGTTTCTCTTCGGTCTCTCTCTGGTCTCTCTTTCTGGTCTCTTTCTCTGGTCTCTCTTCGGTCTCTCTCTGGTCTTTCTCTGGTCTCTCTCTCTGGTCTCTCTCACTGGTCTCTCTCTCTGGTCTCTCTCTCTGGTCTCTCTCTCTGGTCTCTCTTCGGTCTTTCTCTGGTCTCTCTTCGGTCTCTCTGGTCTCTCTCTCTGGTCTCTCTCTCTGGTCTCTCTCTCTGGTCTCTCTCTCTGGTCTCTCTTCGGTCTTTCACTGGTCTCTCTTCGGTCTTTCTCTGGTCTCTCTCTGGTCTTTCTCTGGTCTCTCTTTGGTCTCTCTCTGGTCTCTCTCATCTCTGGTCGCTCTCTCTGGTCTCTCTCTCTGGTCTCTCTCTGGTCTCTCTCATCTCTGGTCGCTCTCTGGTCTCTCTCTCTGGTCTCTCTCTCTGGTCTCTCTCTGGTCTTTCTCTGCTCTCTCTCTGCTCTCTCTCTGGTCTCTCTTCGGTCTCTCTCTGGTCTTTCTCTGGTCTCTCTCTGGTCTCTCGCTCTGGTCTCTCTCTCTGGTCTCTCTTCGGTCTTTCTCTGGTTTCTCTCTCTGGTCTCTCTCTCTGGTCTCTCTCTCTGGTCTCTCTCTAGTCTCTGGTCTCTCTCATCTCTGGTCTCTCTCTGGTCTCTCTCTCTGGTCTCTCTCTCTGGTCTCTCTCTCTGGTCTCTCTCTCTGGTCTCTCTCTCTGGTCTCTCTCTCTGGTCTCTCTCTCTGGTCTCTCTCTCTGGTCTCTCTCTCTGGTCTCTCTCTCTGGTCTCTCTCTAGTCTCTGGTCTCTCTCATCTCTGGTCTCTCTCTGGTCTCTCTCTCTGGTCTCTCTCTCTGGTCTCTCTCTCTGGTCTCTCTCTCTGGTCTCTCTCTGGTCTCTCTCTGGTCTCCCTCTCTGGTCTCTCTTCGGTCTTTCTCTGGTCTTTCTCTGTTTTTTCTCTGGTCTCTCTTCGGTCTCTCTGGTCTCTCTCTCTGGTCTCTCTCTGGTCTCTCTTCGGTCTCTTTCACTTGTTCCTTTACTGGTTTTAGCAGCTCGGTGAACGATGCAGATATGAACATCAGTATTCTGATTCAGCAGTATTCTAATTCAGCAGTATTCTAATTCGGGCGTTCTGCTCTCCCAAAATTCCATCCGATGGGCGGGGGAGCGACTGAATTTTGCGTTGCATTATGGGTAACACTTGCCTTCGCAACTTCCGGTTCTCTCTGCCCGGCGCATTTTCTCTAAATGGTTGAGTGTTTTCGTCATTTTCTGTATTGAAGCCAATAATTCCTTTTGGCTGGCGTGTCCACAATTTGATACAGAAATCAGACAAAAAGATTCTCAAAGGTTAACATCTGCATTTAATTATCTTTACAATCAGATACAGAAATCAACAAAAGAGTGCTCCTAAAACTAATATGTCCCTCTCCTGGCCCTCGGCTGATCCTTCTGTTTCTCCCCAAGCCAGAGCATATATAAAGAACAGGAAGGAGGGGAGTGTCCTATCAGCCAGCTTCCGGTCTAGGGTCCAGCCTTTTCCTCCGTCTGCCAGACTCCTGATGGAGTGAGGTTGAAAAGTGCAGAAGTCAGCAGGCCAAGACTAGGGGGTTGAAATCCAAACAGGAGAATCTGTTGTCCAGTTGCTGGCACAAGAAGACACCTAAAATAAAATAAGAAGGACTGGCCTCCCACTTAGAGGTTAGCTAGGTCATAAAACACATGGTTTTAGAATGTCACGTATTTATAAATACAACAGTTTCCCTCTTTTGACCTGATTAAAAATTAGGTCACAATCCACATCGTCGTTTATCATCAATACTTGTGCTTAGTTCCGGCTCGATATCTGTGAAGAGTTAATACAGAGAAAACAAACAACACACAACCACATTCGAAACATTCCTTCACTAAACTCTTTGATGACCACTGCTGTCATTCTGATTCTTCTTCAACCTCGTCTGTAATGTATGCACTAAAACTATTCACTATAGTTTAAACTATTCTAATCTATTTACAAATATGTTTGCTTATTTTGCTTTTATTGAGCCCTATTCTTAAACATATGTTTTTATCTAATAAATCTATCTATACTGGTGGTTTGCTTTCATTATCAGTGGCTTTGGGCCATTTCGTGGGGCTTTGCTCATTTTTCCAAATACATTTTGTTGAACCAGGAAGTGCTGTCACTTCCTTCTCTCAGACCGTTTGGGATAAATGTACATCGTTAATCAAATTGGTATTATCCGTACAGGAGCTAATCTATTTTAGCAGGTTTCTCTGGGGTTAGTCCCTATACAACGGTATTTTGATTCTCTAATCTGTTGCTGACAAATCGACAGCTCTTAAAATTCTCAAAAATACCTAAAGATCTACTTTTGTGCTATACCCAAATTCACCAAAATGCTTTTAAATGTTTTTGAATCTCTGTTGGTTCTAATCTATCTCATTAATCTAAGCTACATTAATCTAGGCTACACTCATGAACTTTATCTACTTTTGAAGTAACTACTTTTGGACATAATATGAAGGAAATGGTCTTTTTACCGTTTGATATTAGCCCTGTCTAAAAATAATCTCTATTTTTTGAAAGCATCTATCTATTTTACACTCTATTGTGACTCCAAATCTTGGTTGTAGTTTGAGCCAAAGCATATTCCCAATTTTTGAGTTCTGATTGTAACAATTGCATTGGCAATAGACGATTTTTTATTGGCTGGTTCTTGTTCTGCAAATCACTATTTTATGTATTGTATTTCAGACAATTCCAAAAACAACAGTCGTTCTCCAATATTAAAGACATACATCTAAATCAAGTTGCCTGAAAGGGATTTTAACTATTTTAAAACGTTCTCTACGATTATAAGGCTATGCATTTAATTATTTAATAAACACAAGCACATTCATGGCTTCTGTCCGCTGCTTCTAACTGTTTAAAGAGTTGTCCCAAACTTAATATGTGTAAATACATCAGCTATTTGTAATAAACAATAACATTTAACCTGTTCTCCAATGGAGCAGCTCAGAGGCTGCGTCAAGAGCAATGTTATATTTGAGCTATTTTTAGATTTAAAATTGTGTTAAAGCCTGTCGTTCTATGTCTGCATTTTAATACTACTCTCTATAAACACATCTGCCCTAGTTCCTACAGATGTGGAAAACAGAAGCATCTATAAATCTGACTCCATTTGATTCCTTTTTACTTTAGTTATTAGAACAATTTGACCTTATTGATACTTATTTCCACAATAGAACTATTTTGATTATTCACTAGTCTAACTATTATTACTATTGTTTATTCTGACACCTCTTCCTATCGAATCCAATGACATTATAGCTCGAGACTATTTCATTCTATTCTATTATTGTATGATCTATTATCTTAAAGAGTAGATCTGTTTGATGTTATAAGCGCTATTATTTCTCCTTTTGAATTTGCACAACACTAAATTTAGAATGACCCCCTATGGGACAAATATAGAATTTTATTTCATTTTGACAACTCCGAAAATTACTTAATTTTCCCATTTTGCTTTTTTAGGCTGCCCTTTCTATTATTTATTTGTTCTTGCAAATATATGTTTTACACTTCTTTCTAATGATTTAGAAGGTTAAGGACCATGACCACCTATGACAATAACATTACCATACTCCCCTCTGTTGGTCGTGGTCCAAAGTATAAAACATGCATCTGTATGTGTGTGTAGATTACTGTTCCAATCATTCTCCAGTTGTTCCTCCCGGATCGTCCTCAATTCATATTGTGGGCTTTGGTGCCAAAGTAGAGGCTCATTTCCTTATGATCCATACTACTGTCATCCCTGAAGCAGGGGTAGTTTATCTCTCATCTGAAAAACAAACATTAGAACACCAGAAATGCCCACTTTCCTCTCTTCGCATGGTGCGGCCTGTCAATCAATCCAATTGGGCAAAACATAACTGCATTGACAGACGGTGTGTGACATCAGGGCAGAGGCTGTAGCCAAATACAGACTTAACAAAATGTATGTTTCTAATTTTATACTCCCCTAAATGTGAATTACAAACCAAAGTTGTCCTTCAACCCACGACAGCTCACTGCGGTTGGACCGAATCATTGTCAGGACAAACAGCAGAGGGAGGGACTCCCAGTACCTTCAGCAAGGTATTCATCTCAGAGTACTTTCTCAGAGTACTTTTCTCAGAGTACTCATCCCAGAGTACTCTCACTTTTACACCTGTTCAATAAAGCTTGTTATCTTTGAATCTCTAGTACTTACACCGTATGCTGTTGACAAAAAATAATTATTCCATGATCACATTAAAACATTACAGAAAACTTTTGTTATTCCATGATTCCGTTCAGCACTCCTCGTTCACTCCACAACACACTCACAACACCCCACGTTAGTATATTGGTCCAGAGTTTGTTAAGGTCAACGTAGTGTATTTGACATGACGCACAAACATATAACATACACAAACATATAACATACACAAACATATAACACACACAAACATATAGACAACACAGGAGGCCTGTAATTTTAACTTTGTTATATTTTTCCATGTCCAATTACAATTGTCTCATGAGCTATTTCTATTGTTGCAACTTTCAGAGCCTGCAGAACATGCAGAGCTTTAAGAGATTTTTCCTAAAAGGATCCATTTCAAACTTTAGTGTTTACCACGTGGTCTGTACTCAGGCTTGTCACAGACTGTGTCCCCTATATTTTTAATGA